CCCAGGCTCTATTTCATTCTCAGCTTCCTCAACCTCCTCCTGCTGTTTCATGGATATGTTGACAGTCCCTTGCTGACTCCAGAGCTTTTCAGTTCCTGGGGACAGAAGTTTTTTCCTGAATTCTCCAGTGCTTCCCGTAGCGTTACATTTCTGTTTCCACCATTTCCCAAAGAACACAGTCTTAGTGTGAGCTTACAGGTGATCTCACTAGGCTGCCCTCGGGGACCTAGCAATTGCTTACATCACTGCTTACTGCCTTGTCAGGTACAACAGGTTCTCCCTCTCTCCCTCTCCCCTCCCCCTCCCCCTCCCCTTCTTCCTCTTTTTCTTTCTCTCTCTCTCTCACTCTCTCTCTCTCTCTCTCTCTCACACACACACACACACACACACACACACACACACACACGCACACACACACACACATCTGTCTACCAGGTTCCCCTGACTGCATTATATTTCATAACATTTTGACTCCCCAAAAGTTAAGAGTCAGGAGGACTTGCTGAATTAATTCATCTAGATTCCTCTTCGTTCTGAAGATGCACAAGATGGGATCTGGCTAAGTAATCTCTCATCGTCAGACAAAGTATGAAACACAGGTGAGAGTGGACCGTCAACTACTTCACGTAGGCAGGAGAGTTGTTAGATCGCATGGGGGGGGGGAGCTCTGAGTCCATCAAAGCTCTAGTATTTAGCGCACTCAGAACACCGCCTTTATGCCTTTAGTCAAATGAAACCGAGCTCCTGGTCTAGCTCTGAGGGAATGTTCCACAGCTGCGGGCCCCTGCGAGGTCTTTCTGATGGACACAGACCAGGTGGTACACAACGTTCTACCTGAGGCTGCAAATCAAGGGCCTTCCCTGGTGGAAAGAAAGTCACATGGATAAAGAAGTCTAAAGCACCCAGGCCTCCAAGGGTTCCCTCCCCCAGACCCTCACCCCCATCCCAGACCACTTTTCCCAGGAAAAAAGACGAGATATAGTCCAGTAGATCTAAGCAGGGACCAGGGCATTGTGTGGGTGTCATGAGAAAAAGCTCTCACTCCCCTGCTTTACTCTCTTGCCTGTACTGAAAGAGTCCTCACTACGTAGCTTAGACTTGTCTCAAACTCACAATATTCCCGTCTCAGCCTGCCAAGTGCCAGAATGACAGACCTGTGCTGCCATATTTAGCTTAGTTCTAGATCTTTGACTCCTGATAGGAAGTACATCAGTTCAGATGTGAGTTCCTGTCCCTGGCTTAGAAGGATATTCAGGGCTAGAAACTGATTTGAATTATCACATATAGCTAGCCCAGACCTTTACCAGCTTTGGAGTATGAAGAATCCTGGACATGGGGAGGTATTGCTCCCCCCAACCCCCATGAGAGAATGGACATCTCGGGAAGGGCCTCGAGTCCAGGTGACAGATTCCAAGCTGACACCTGTGTCAAGACTAAATTGAGAGAATTGGTTGAGTGGCTCTCCCCAGACACTGATTTCTTGTCTTAGAAAAACAAGATTTAGTTTTCTTTATATGTACGTGAGTATACCGTGTGGGTACCCAAACAGGCTAGAAGAAGGTACTGCAGAGGTTACAAATCACCCAAGATGGGTGCTGGCAACTGAATTTGGGTCCTCTGAAAGAGCAGCAAGAGCTCTTAACTACTGAGTTATCCCTCTAGCCCCAGACACTGGTTTCTCGCCCCTCAGCAAAATCTTCATCTTCCTCAAAGGATGAAACATTGGGTAAACATGAGCAGTAGAGAAGCCAGTCAGGCTTCTGTCGCTGTCCACTCCTTTAGTTCCCTGACCCCTCTTCGTTCTGTCTCCTGTGGGATGTAGCATCCTGTTCCCTGTCTCAGAACTCCCCATGAACGGTCTTATGGAATCCAAACTCTGACCCTGTCTCACATCTCCTGAGGGGAAATACCTTAAGTGTCCTGCCAGGATATACACACCGCCTTTCCAGCTCTTGGTGCCTGGCTGAAGTGCGGGTCATTGTTCAACTGAGACTTTCTGTTTTTAGAGTGTCTGAGGAATCTAGGTGTATGTGCGCAAGAAAGTCTCCAGAACAGTAAGGAATGGGACAATGATGGCGCTCAAGGTTGATACTGTGGAGCAACCGAGCCTTAGTCCATGAGGACCAGCTCCCAGGTGCTATGAAGTCTAAGAAAGAAAGGCAGACAGGGCAAGGTGTGCTCCAAGTGTGCATTGGCTCCTTCTGTGATAATGTGACCAAAATGCCCGGCAGAAGCACCTTAGGGAGGAAGTTTCATTTTGGCTCCCAGTTGCAGGGCCGAGTCGGTTGGTGTGAAGAAGCCACGGCATAGCCAATGTTCTTGGTGATTTACCTTGTGGAATACCTTGTGGATTTATCTTGTGGGGAAGCAGAGGGACCAGCAGAGGGTGGGGGCTATAACCTACAAATGCCTACCACACCTAGTGACCATCTTTCCCTTGCCAGTCTCATCTCCTAAAGATTCCTCAGCTTCCCCAGCCAGCACCAACGGCCGAGGGACCAGTATTTAAAACAAGAGCTGGATGGAGACATTCCAAATTCAGGCAGGTCCCTGGTGCAGCAACCTACTGCCAAGCTACAGTGCTTAAGGGGTTTGTTAACTTACATTTTCCCAGGAAATTAACACGGGAAAAACTGGCTTGTGTTAATCTGAAGCAATCATGGTTCTTAGAGCTCAGTATGGCTCAGTCATGTCAAGCTAAACCCATACAGTCGAGGAAGGGTTTATACAAGTCATTCCTCTGCCAGTAGTTCTGGGAATTTTATTCATGGGCATTCCCAGACCCCTCACCTTCCTTTCCTGTTTTAGGTCCTGGGTAGTTCTATGTCAACTTGACACAAGCTAGAGTTATCTGGGCCGAGGAGCCACACCTGAGAAAATGCTATCGTCAGATTGTCTGTAGGACACTTTCTTGACTAGTGATTGAAATGGGAGGACCCAGCTCACTGCAGGTGGTACCACCCACGGCTGTGGAATAAGAAAGCAGGCTGGGTGAGCTATGGAAAGCCAATCAAAAGTGTTCTTCCAAGGCCTCTGCTTCAGTTTCTGCCTCCAAGTTCCTTCATGATAGACCATAAACGGTGAATTAAATAAACACTTTGCTCCACAGGTTGCTCTGGTCATAGTGTTTATCTCGGCAATGAAAAGCAAACCAGATGAGTTTATCTTTGAGGTCAGAAGCCACATTTCATGACCTTCACTCCCCAGTTCTCAGACAAGTATTATTATAGGAAGGTAGTCTCTCCTGTGACCTTTCTTGTGGTCCTACAAAGAATGACAGTGATTTAGTCTACTGAGAAAATGAATGTTGAGAAACAAATTTCATTGTAAATTTATCTAGAGTCCAAGGCTACATTTGCAATAGCATTCATTCTCCCTATGCTCAGACGGAGCCACGGGCACACAGAGTCTGAGCCTGGACCTTGATTCATGTGGGCCATGAGTCATTAGGCTTAGAAGGATCTCCCGTGCATAAGAGGGCAGAAGGGAGTGGTCCAATTAGAGAGGTGTTTTTTTTTTTTTTTTTTAAAGTAGGAGGTGCCCAAGGGCATTTGCTTATCAGCACAGAAAATCAACCTGAGGGCTGGAGGAGTGGAGCAGGACTTAGAAGAAGAAGAAGAAGAAGAAGAAGAAGAAGAAGAAGAAGAAGAAGAGGAGGAGGAGGAGGAGGAGGAGGAGGAGGAGGAGGAGGAGAAAGGTCTAGAGAAAGAGGATCAGAGAGGAGCAACAGTCACGCTTGCCAGAAGCCTGTAGGCTACGCTGCCTACCACAGTCTTGCATTTCTATTTCTCTCGTCTGAAAACAGGGCAGGCTCATTTTGTCCAGATAGCAGCTGTGCAAGCCATGTGGCTCTACCTGGTGGCACTGGTGGGCCTGTGGACACTCCTGCGCTTGTTCAGGGAGAGGAAGGTGGTGAGCCATCTCCATGACAAGTATGTCTTCATCACGGGCTGTGACTCCGGCTTTGGAAACCTGCTGGCCAGACAGCTGGACAGGAAAGGCATGAGGGTGCTGGCTGCATGTCTGACTGAGAAGGGAGCCGAGCAGCTGAGGAGCAAGACATCTGAGAGGCTGGAGACAGTGATCCTCGATGTCACCAAGACAGAGAGTATTGTGGCAGCCACTCAGTGGGTGAAAGAGCGTGTTGGGAACAGAGGTACCATTGAGATTCCTGTCTGTGTTGTTGGTTTGTCTCCCTGTTTGAAGGGGCCCTCCCCTCCATACTCCCTGACCAGATCCTTAGTGGGGTTTGAGGGCCCTGAAGTAACTCAGCACATCACCTGAACACTGTCTCTTTCCAGCCCCTATCTTCTGTTTCCCAAGTCCTGTGGCCTTGGTAAGAAGGTGCCCTGGTGAGGACTTACCCTCTCACATCCCTGTCTCTACTCTGTCATCTTTTCTACACAGAAAATCTAGATTGTCGGGTGCTGAGTGCCAGGTTAGTGCAGGGTCCCTTCTGGAGCAGAGGATGGGATTTGGTCCTGTGTCTTGTGTGTAGGACCTCTGCAGCCATGCTGGGGTGGATCTCCCGAGTCAGCAGCATTCCTGTTCTTACCTGTCAGCTGTGTCCTCTGTGAAGGGAAGGAGACAGAACTATGTACAGAGCAGGGCAGACCAGCTTAAGGATAGACTTGGGAGAGTAAATCCTCCCAAGGTGGGTTTGGGTAAGTGGGGGTTGCTCCTCTTTGAATATGTTAGTAGTGAGAAAAAAAAAGAACAGAGTGGTTTAAAGGGATCTGAGAATAAATAGAAACCATAGTCATTGTTCAAAAACACTAGAGAACAGAAGAGCAGTTAACCTGTAATTCACAACCTGTAATTCGCCACTCAGTGGATAAAAACTGGTAGCACTTTGACCTGTACACATTGAAATGAATACAGTCTTTTCACTTTAAAAAAGGTGAGGATTTTTTACCACCTCAATAACATTTCTTTGAATGATAATATTTAACGAACTAGAAAATCCTAACTTTTAACAAAGCCCCACTAATTTGACCTTGGAGTCAGAAGCGTCAACTGTTTGGTACATAAACATAGTATGTTTACTTTCGCTTGTTTTTTTTTGTTTTTTGTTTTTTTTTGTTTTTTTTTTTGTTTTTTAATTTGTAAGACAGGGTTTCTCTGTGTAGCCCAAACTGTTCTAGAACTCACTATGTAGACCAGGCTTGCCTCTAACTCCAAGGTCTACCTGCCTCTGCCTATGGAGTGCAGGAATTAAAGGTGTGTGCCACTACTGCCTAGCTTGAGACAGGGTCTCGATCCAGAGCTTGACTTGAACTCACAATCCTTTGTATGGGGATTGTAGGTATATGCTGCCATCCCCAACTTGTTTCCTACATTTATGATCATAAGCAGTACCCTTTTTTTGTTTGTTTGTTTGTTTGTTTGCTTTTGTTTTTGTTTTTCCCGACAGGGTTTCTCTGTGTAGCCCTGGCTGTCCTGGAACTCACTCTGTAGACCAGGCTGGACTCTAACTCAGAAATCCACCTGCCTCTGCCTCCCAAGTGCTGGGATTAAAGGCGTGTGCCTCCACTGCCTGGCTATAAGCAGTATTCTTGTAAGCAGTTTTAGTAAGCGTGTTTTAGGATCCTAAGAGTAAAGTGTCTTGGTTAAACAGTTTATATCTCTAGAAGGGTGAGGTATGATTTTGGGCTGACAGGGCACATAGCTTTTGAGCCAATTTTTCTAAGTTAACAAGCAGTACAATTGCCTTAAGTCATGTAGCCCCTGGCTGATCCCGCACGTTCGGCAAAAGTGAGGAGGTGCTGTTGAGGGCCATAGCACTTCCCAGGTGGCTGCTGAGGACCTGTAGCTTAGTGACTAAACAGACACAGGGCTGTGTCCTGTGGGTGAGTGGAAAGAAAGAGGGCTGCTTTCTGAGGTAGAGGGTGGGGCTGTGCTCTAGCGTTGCCTGCTCCTTCAGGTCAGCCTTGTATTTTGTAAGCACCTCACACAAGTTTCTCAGTATCAATGCTGGATGTGTCAAGGTGCGTGGGCCTGAAGACACCCTCAGGTGAGGGCGCTATCTAGTTGGTTTGGTTTTATGCCGTTTTTGTTTACTTAGTTGTTTTTTTTTTTTTTTTAAGAAAAGATCTCCCTCCTGGGATTCACAGATTTATCTAAGCCATTGGGCTAGTAGGCTCCTGTTTGGACTTCCCCAGTTCTGGGATTACAAGCAAGCCACCATTCTAGTCTTTAAGGTGGTTTGTGGACTCAAACTCAGGTCTAAGGAGGCTTAGCTCCTTAGGTATAGCTCCAGACCCTTTCCCCTGGAGGCAGCACTGTGTGGAACTGCTCAGAGAACTCTGAAGATACTGCTGAAAGAGTAAATCTCTGCAAGGGTGGCATCAACCTGGAAAACAGTTTCATGGTTTCCAAAGGTGGCCATGTCTTCAACGTCTGTTCTTAAATTCAGTGAGAAGGGACTACATGTTGCTTCCCAGGTAGAAAACTGGGCCAGGAAGACTTAAAGGATGAAGGTATCCATGCTATGAGTCAGCACTCTCTGGCGCGTGTTCCCAAGCCCTGTGGATACCCCGTTCTTACTCATTGCATCCTATTGTCCAGTAAACACGTGTCACAGTGGTCTTACCTTGTTGAATGTGCATTTCATCCATAATTAAACCTGTGTTGTGTGACTGTCTCTTCCCACTGTCCCCAGGACTCTGGGGCCTGGTCAACAATGCTGGCATCTCCTTACCATCTGGTCCCAATGAGTGGCTGAGCAAACAGGACTTTGCAACTGTACTGGATGTGAACCTGTTGGGCATGATCGAAGTGACACTGAACATGCTGCCCTTAGTAAGGAAGGCGAGGGGCCGAGTGGTCAATGTCTCCAGTGTCTTGGGTCGAGTGTCTTTCTTTGGTGGTGGTTACTGCATCTCCAAGTACGGTGTAGAGGCCTTCTCGGACTCCCTCAGGTACTGGAAGGGAAAGGGGTACCTGAGGGGAGCTTTGATAGAGTTTTTTTTTTTTATTTAATCACAGTCTTTAAGTTCACATAATGAGACTGGAGAGATAGCTCAGAGGTAAAGAGAATTGACTACTCTTCCTGAGGTCCTGAGTTCAAGTCCCAGGAACCACATAGTAGCTCACAACTATCTATAATGAAATCTATCTTTAAAAAAATAAATAAATAGAAAAGCCTATCCTGGTTTGTGGATTCTCTTACCTTCCCTTCATTGGAGGTACACAATCATTGGAAAATACATCATTGGATGATCATTGGACAGTGAGAAATACCTTCTCATGTCTATGGCTGGGGCAGGACTGAGGCATGAGTTCAGTATTCTTTTTGCTTATTTGTTTGTTTGTTTAAGACATGGTCTCACAATGTAATCTTGGCTGTCCAGGAATTCACTAGGTAGACCAGGCTGGCCTCAAGCTCATACAGATTCATCTAATGAGTGCTGGAATTAAAGGTGTGTCCTACCATGCCTGGTGAGGACAGTTAATAGTCTGGAGGAAAACGTACAATTGGAACATTGTTTTTGAGTTAGTGTTGGACCTGAAGTAATTTGGACAGAGTCTTGACCCTTAACCTTTAGTGATGTTCAACTTGAGGATGTCCTTGAGGTAGACTGTGCATCTCATTCAGTCCAGTAGGTACTTTCCAGACTCACAAGAGTCCACAGTCAATATTGTAGAATTACAGCAAAGTTCTCCCTCTGACCTTAAAAATTCTAGCAACATGCAAGTCTGGGGTCAGGGGGGTAGGGTACTGTGGCCATCCTTTGGAGTGGTTATCTCCAGTTAGCCACTGGTGAGAGTGTAGTTATCAGACTTTGGATCCTATGGTAAGGGTCAAAACAGAAACTTAGAAGCCTCATTAGGAAGGCTGTTGGGAAAATCCATTCACTTTAGGCTCTGTGTGAATATTAACTGATAGAGAAAGCTGTCGGCCTCTACTTAACAAAAGAATAAGTCAGGCGACACAGGCAGGAGGCTGAGGAACTGAGCACAAGCAGGCTCATAGGAATCTGAGGGCCATGGGCAAGGATGTGTATTCTGAACTTGTCAAGGCGGATAGAAGAAGTTGAGTCATTTGGGTTAGGTAACCTGTCAGCTGCAGAGTACAGGCCAACTGTGATCAGAGGCTCTAGGAAATACCAACAGGATCCAGAGGGGAGCTGGCCTATAAGCTTCCTGGGATGGATTTGGAGAAGCTGTAAAACCAAGAGTGAGGAGGAGGTAACTTGGGCAAGGATGGGGAGCCGTTTTATCTGGAATTCATTGAGAAGTTTTACCTGGAGTCTAGCTTTAGGCCAGTGAGATGCACATGCCAAATACTTGTGTGACATTCAAAAGCACACAGGTGATAGCCTTATCACAAGATCCTTCGCCATTTCCTGCACATCCCAGATCCAAAGGGTGTGGCCTTTCCTCACCACAGGCTCCTGTTGGCATGCTACTCTACTCTTATTAAAGTGTTCTCACTGAGAGACCTCTGAAGTCCTTGACATCTGTCTGCCTTGCAGGAGGGAGCTCTCCTACTTTGGAGTGAAGGTGGCTATTATAGAGCCTGGAGGTTTCAAGACTTGTGTGACAAGTAGTGACAGGCTGTCATCAAACACCAAGATGACCTGGGACAAGGCCGGCTCGGAAGTCAAAAAGATCTATGGCGAGAAGTTTTTATCATCTCGTGAGTGGATTTGGGGGAGCAAAGCCAACCTGAGCCTAGAATTGCGAATCTATTGTTAGTGTTGCCAGCAGTCCCCCCCCCCCACTAAGTGTTACTTCTCAAAATAAGCATGTATAGCCCTCCTTCCCATAGCAGGTGGGCACCTCACCACATACAGGGATCCTGACAGCTAGACATGAGGCTTCGGTTTATATAAAACCCTCATTATCAAGAGATCAGAGCTAAAACAGATACAGGAAGCAGTGTTTTCCATGAGCTTGGGTTTTTCCCAGCTACTGGGGAGATGACATATTGATCTCAAGAGAAGCATAGCAGGCTCTGTATTCATGGCTCTTCCTAGTGGCTTGGTTGTGGTCCTTCCAAGGAACTGTGAAGGGTAGGCTTGGACATGGCTTCAGGGATTCAGAGACACGGTTTCATGCACACAGAGAGTAGAAGTTCTCCTCCATGCTGGTGTCAGATAGGAGTGGTGGGAGCTGAATGACCACCTGAAACATTTCTCATTCTGCATAGATCTGACACGGCTAAAAATGATGGATGACACGTGCAACTCTGACCTGTCTTTGGTAACTGACTGCATGGAGCACGCTCTGACTGCCTGTCACCCTCGCACCCGATACTCAGCTGGGTGGGATGCCAAGCTCTTCTACCTCCCCTTGAGCTACCTGCCCACCTCTCTTGTGGATACCCTGGTCTACTGGACTTCTCCAAAGCCTGAGAAAGCTCTCTGAAGTCTTTACCTATGTGTATAGTTGGTGATATGGAGGTACTGTGTAAGGGAGGGAATTCATAGGGAATATAGGAGGGTCGAGGGAGGTCGGTCATTATTTTGGTGTTATTAGTTCACACTCTTCATTCCACTAAGTTTCCTGTGATATTACTCAAGACTAATGGTGACCAAAGAAATAGACAAATAATTCTCCCAAGGGATTCAGATATAAAAGAGCTGCCTGTTGGCCAGGCTCTGAGCATCATGGCCTACCATGAGGATCCACACAAATGAGGAGGTTGGGACCAGCAAGTCCATGGACAGGATTTACCTGTAGGCCTCAGCTTTACCACTCCCTTCCCTAAAGACAATCTCTCCCTGCAGGATCACCAAGTGACCATATCTTTTCTACAGACTCACTTAGTGGCCATCTTTTCCCTCAGACTCACTAAGTGTCCATCCCTTCCTGTAGAACCACTCCGTGATCATGAATTCCCTGTAGACTCATTAAGTGACCATCCCTTCCTGCAGACTCACTAAGTGACCATCCCTTCCATACAAACTCACTAACTGTTCATCTCTTCCTGAAGACACACTAAGTGACCATGCCTTCCCAGCAGATCCATTAAGTGACCATTCCTTCATATAAGACTTACTATCTGACAACCACAACAAAGCCCTTCTGATTTTCTGTTCTTGTCCCAGGCCACTTCTCATGAACCCTCCCTCAGTGCCATTGCCATACTCCTCCAGCACCATGTACAGAGTGTTCTTCTCAACTATGCTTTTCATTTTACGGACAACATTTTTGCCAAAGAGCCAGGGTGCTGACCTTGCCGTGACCTCTGAGACCTGGCTCTGCCTGCTGCTAGGTTGGGAATCTCAAGAGTAGGCTGAGCAGGGAAAGCATGTGTGGAAGAGACAGAGAATCCTGGACTCAGTACAGACTTGCCCTGGGGAGGGACTTCCATAGATGCCTGACTCCTCTTCTCTCGGTAGAAATGTGGGGTCCAGGGGCCACAGGAGAAACTTGTAAATAAACAACAATTTCTGGATTAATGAAAATAGAAATTCCTCTACTGTAACATGTGTATGGTCCTCCATTAACTTGTGTTATTTTGAAATGATTGTTTTAGGACCTTTGAGCATACGTGTGTGTGTACTTGTATGTTTCATGTGTGGGAGGACCCTCAGAGGTGAGAAGGAAGATGAAGGCCACTGGTTACAAGAAGTTTTCAGCCATACAATTTGGGTGTCAGAAAATGAATTTGGGTTCTTCAGAAGAGCAGTAAATACTCTTAATGGTTGACTTATTTCTACAAAACATATATTTATATTTTAGTTTTTATTTCTTTTGGTTTGTTTGTTTGTTTGTTTTGAGATGTCTCACTACACGACAGGTTGACCATGACCTTGTAAACTCTATTTCTACTATCTTCATCATTGCACAAATCACACTATAGGAACATATCAGCATCTCTGCACATTGTAGCCTGTGAGGAGGCTGGTCAGGAGGTTACATCAATCTAAGTATTCTCTAGAGCATTGTGCTGGCTCCACAGGGGAAAGGGGCTCACCCAGGCCAGATCTATGGCACTAAGCATGGGTAGAGGCTCAAAAGCATCATGAGACTGAACAGCGTGTAATCAGCAGGAAGTACACTGTAAGGTGGTCCAAGGCTGCATGCCACATCCCTGGAGGAGCCTCCTTTTCTCCTCAACCAGGTTTCTGCACTAGGGAAAACCACAGTGTACTCAGATGTGTCTGAGAGGGACTCTGGCTGTCACAAGAGGCTATCTCAATTATCTATGCATGAGGACCACACTGTACACACCCCAGTCCCATGTCTCCAACCCTAGATCCTCAGCCATTAGAACACAATAACCTTTCATTTCTGGTTCTCCAGTTAAGACTGAGTAGAGGCTGCATATGGTCAAGTCTAGAAACAGGGTTAACAGTGGGTCTGTTTCCACCCTTTGCAGCACTGATTCAAGGCTCCACCTCTCCCCTTTTTGCATGAGGAAGAAAAGTTAGGTTTGGGTGTATTGCCTTTTGGGAGAAAGTGCTTCCCCCTGGACTGAGCTAGACACCTGATCCCAGTAGATGGCTCAGTTCCCATCTACATGAACAGATCAGAACAGCCTAGAGATAAGAAGAGCTTCAGTGTTGGGCATTCACAGGGTCTGGCCCGGAATGAGACCAACCCACCCTGCCCAGTACAGGGAAGAGGAGTAGCTGGGCACCATTATTTGGCTTGTGTGAGAATCTCAGGAGGGATGGATGGACCGAGGAACTTCCATGAATCAGGGAGGTGTCTCTGAGGCTTTCTTTTCAGCTTTCTGCCTACTGCAACAGAGTCATGTTCATTTACTCACTCTTCCTGACTTTATCCAGAAATTCCAGGGCTAGATCTAGATCCTTCTGTGTTCCATAAAACCCTAATCCAATAAGAGTGCATGTTCTTGTCAGGGTTGATAAGGATAGGACTATAGGGAGAGAACTTGGAAATGACCATAGAAGGATGGCTCTAGAGAACTCATTGTTGAACGGATACAAGATCTACGAGCAGCAATGTCTGCGTGTACTTTGGACAAAAAAAAAAAAAAAAAAAAAAATCCAGCATTACATTTTGGGAGATGCAATTCAGAGCTAGGATTTTAAGGACCTGTTGGGTGATGACAGCCACATGAAGAATGTCCTAGTAATTTTTGCAGGATCAGGAGGAGGGACAGGAGTGGAGGCAGGAGGACAAGGATAGCAGCAGTAAGACATACAGGATCAGGCACAGGGGAGAAGAAATAGCAGTGTAAATGCAGAGCAGACACAGGAGGGGTCTACTGGAGGGACACCCTTGGAGAGAGAGTGACCCAATTCCAGATTCACAGGTCACTCCCTACTGACAACCAAGGCCCAGGCCTAAAGGCAGAGCTGTAATGTATCCCATGTTGGGGCCTTTCCTGATAGAAGCATAGTTTTTGAGAGGACAGAGTCAGTGCGTCAGATATGTTACAGATTGGAACAGAAAGTTGTGGAAGTTTCAGGTAAGAGAAATATGACATCATTCCTGAAGGAAGGCACCAGGTTTATTTTGAGCTGGAATCAGAGAGTCAGTCAGGCATTCTTCAGAGCCAGGAGCCATATGTAAAGCACGAAACACTACTTCTGAGGCTCTGAGCAAGACACTCTGGGAAATTAAGTAAGAAATCCTGGCTCAGTTGAGTCAAGGGCAGTCATGGAGGTCACAGCTCAAGAAATCTGTGCTCAGGTCTGCTTTAATCCAGGCAGCCAGGAGAAAGGCCACTTGTGAGAGTAAAGTCATTTCCTTCCCCACATCAGTTCTGCGAGTCATGATGTGTCTGGGGTCTCAGGCCCATTACCTTGTGTTCCTTTGAAGTCAGCCTTCCCTGTGTGGGGCCTGCCCTTCTATCTTCCCAGGAGCTGCTGTATTAGGAGGGCATCTGCTCTCCATGTCCTCTCCTGTAGTTGTCCTGAGTCCAACTGCATGTTACCAATAGATTCTCACTATGTTCACAACATCCTGGCTTGTGGCTCCCGAGTTCAGGATGCAGAGACACAAGGTGACCTGGGACTGGACCACGGGACTTGTGTAATGACATACACATGTATTTCCACATGAGTCCAGGAAGCAACAATCCTAAGAGAATAGGCGTGTGTTACTGGACAGTCAGTGGAGTTTTACTTGGCAGAGAGATAGGGAGAGCCAAAAGGCATTAAATGTCTGCTGTTCAAGAGCAGGTCAAAGACCAGAGATGTGAGGCATCACTAATTATAAGAAATGCAGAGGACTTCACCCCAGAGGCTGGAGTTCTAGATGCCTACGCCTGCCTGTGTGAGGCTTCCAGGCTCATTTTGACTCAGGGTATCTCTCTCTTCTTGACTTCTAATTGCCATGTGGCTCTACCTGGTGGCACTGGTGGGCCTGTGGACACTCCTGCGCTTGTTCAGGGAGAGGAAGGTGGTGAGCCATCTCCGTGACAAGTATGTCTTCATCACCGGCTGTGACTCAGGCTTTGGGAACCTGCTGGCTAGACAGCTGGACAGGAGAAGCATGAGGGTGCTGGCTGCCTGTCTGACAGAGGAGGGAGCCGAGCAGCTGAGGAGCAAGACATCTGAGAGGCTGGAGACAGTGATCCTTGATGTCACCAAGTCAGAGAGTATTGTGACAGCCACTCAGTGGGTGAAGGAGCGTGTTGGGAACAGAGGTACCATTGAGATTCCTGTCTGTGTTCTTGGTTTTCTCTCTGTGTGTGGAGGGAAGGCTTGTGTAGCCCTGACATGACTCCTGGTGGGGTCATGGTGGCGTTGGAGTCACTGCAGAGTCTGTCCCTCTCCTGCACACCAGTCTGTCCTCTTCCCTCTACACTGAATCCTCCAAGATCTGTATTCTTTGATCAGCTGGTGCCTTGGGAAGTTTTTATGTCCAAATTATTCTCTGTCCTCTTTGACTTTGTATGTAGAAAGACTGAATTGTTGGCTGTGAATCTAGGTTAGAGACAGTGTGGAGGAAGAACTCTCGGTTTCTGGGGCCTGGTCTCTATGTCAAGGTCATGGGCCAGAGTGCACCTGCTTTCTCAGTTCTGCAATATGTTCTTATGTACTACCTGTGCACCTTTACAGGGAGAGCCAAAATTATTGCCATGCTTAAGCTCAATGTCAAGGAATGCCTTAGGAGAGAAAAAGCTAGTAAGTAGTCTCTCTCTTTTACACAGAAACAGACACACACACACACACACACACACAGAAACACACAGAGCTTATCAATCTCTTTCTCCTTTTGTCTTTCTTTCCACTATTTGTATTATTATTTAAAAGATAAATTTAAATAAAAATGAGTTGGAAACAGTTATTGTTCTAAACTCCAGTTATGTCAAACTACAACTAGTGTATGATTCAGTGGATAAAAAGTAGTAACACTTTGACCTGTATGTTTACTGTATGTGCTTTCTTTCCACTTTAAAAATGTAAGCTTTTTGACCACATTACCACTCAAAGAACATTAATTACAGTAATAACTTTCAGTGAAGTAAAATAACTTGACCCTTAACCAAGTCTTATTTCACTTAGCAAGCATTGCAACTGTTTATTGTTTGGTTCCTTTGTGTTCTTTTGGCTCATGTTTTTGAGGCAGGGTTCTAGTATGGACCTGATCACCATCTGATGAACCTGTTCCTCAGCTCCTTCCTGTTGGCATCGCCAGAAATGGCCACCATACCATTTTAGGACAACTTGTTTTATTATCCTAAGAACTATCTTGTGATACTTCTAGTCTATTCTGAGTCTGCAAGCATGTGTATTTTGGAATCCTAGAATTAAAGTATTTGTTGTGCATATTATTATTACATTTTTTCATGAAAACATTTCAATCATGTTTCCCTTTCCCCACCTCTTCACAGATCTCCCCATGTCCCAGTCACTCAAGTTCATATTCTTTCTGTCTCTCCTTCTCTCTGTCTGAAAAAACAAAAACAAAATAAAAACCACTTAAGGAAAAGTCACATAAACAAACAAACAAACAAACAAAGAAAAAAAAACAATAGCAACAAAAGCAAGCAAAAAGAAATAAGCAAAAAAGCCAGCACAAATGACTGTGAAAAAATGCTGGCTCCCCTTTCCTCCCAAAATTTCATGGAGTTTATTTTGTGGAAATACAACCACTATTGGGTGTAAAGCTCTGTGTGTGCCTTTATAGTGAGAGGGTTACAGTTTGCTTCTTACTCAGATAACTCTTAAATAACTGAGACTGGACTAAGTTATTTATTTAACATGCCTAAAGGGCAGAATTACTGAGCAATATTACTCTATTTCAATCCTCGAAAATAATCTGCCAAGCCTCCAGACCAAATAATGGAGATACTTACAATTTTAGACTTTCTCTGCTCCAGGTGTTTTCTTATGGTGTCTCCTAGACTATTTACAGGTAGCTACTGCATACTTCCTCCTCGACAGCTCTCTGCCCTGGCTGGGAGAAGTCCAGCCATGTTTTCTCCCCTGTTCAGTCATTGTTTGTTGAGGTCTCTTAATAACACTAGAGGGAACAATTGGAAAGCTTGTGTTTGAACAAGATTGCCCCTGGATATCCTCTGAATAAGGACTGTAACCAGATGCAGTGGGCACAGAAATCAGCTTTTGAATCTTCACACAGTGCACAATAAAATGCCTCCAAGACACCATTGACATTACAGTGCAGAAAACTGTTCTTGCTTTGGACAGCAGTTATCAGTTACAAATAGCTTCTTGCTTAGAGGTTAGACCATGTGTCCACTTTCCCTCCTCAGTGCTGGGTCACTGTCCCCTTTTGACTGTGCAGGTCTTATGTGTGCTTCCACAGTCTCTGTGAGTTCATGTGAGCAGCAGTCCTGTTGTGTCAGGAAGACAGTCTCCTTGGA